CTCTATCTCAAAAAAAAAAAAAAATTATTTCTTTATTTATTTTTGAGACAGAGTCTCACTATGTTGACCTTGATAGACTGCCATGGTGTGACAGCTCACAGCAACCTCAGACTCTTGGGCTTAAGCGATTCTCTTGCCTCAGCCTCCTGAGTAGCTGGGACTACAGGCACCTGCCAAAAAGCCCAGCTATTTTTTTTTTTTTTTTTGAGATAGGTCTCAAGCTATTGCTCGGTAGAGTGCTGTGGCATAACAGCTCATAGCAACCTCAGACTCTTGGGCTTAAGTGATTCTCTTGCCTCAGCCTCCCTAGTAGCTGGGACTACAGGCACCTGCCACAATGCCTGGCTAAGCCTATTTTTAGAGATGAGGTCTTGCTCTGGCTCAGGCTAGTCTCAAACTCAAAAGCTCAGCAATCCACCCGCCTCAGCCTCCCAGAGTGCTGGGATTACAGGTGTGAGCCACCACACCTGGCCCTCTTTTTATTTTTATATGAATTATTTGGCTTGTACCTCATATTTAAAGCATCAAACATAATATACTGTCATATTTGAATATGAATACTACCAATGTTTTAATAATAACTCACATTTTTATTATGTGTTTAGCACCATGGTGTATCATTTTAAATTATGTGTGTGTAGCATTTAAAGTGTATAGTGACTAAAATAATTACTCTTGCTTCATGTGGCCTATATAGTAGGTGTCAATTTAGCAGATGTGGTCATTCAACTCACAAAAAAATGGTCACTTTAATCTGCCAGAAATCACAGACATCACAAGTCTTGAGTGGAATTGAAAGAGTGTAACATTGTCCGTGAGTGGTGAACTCTTCCCTGCCTCCTCCCCGCTCCTCACTCTACTTCCTATTCCGTCTCATAAGCTTAGCACCGTTTTTGCATAGTAAAGTTTCATCAAGCAAAAGCCCAAGTGTGCAGTGGGTCTCAATCCTGCGTGATCTCTTTCCTCTGCCCCATGGCCCAGAAATGAGATGTGGTCCAGGGAAAAGCTAGAAAAGTGCCAACTAGGACGTGTCAGGACTCTCCTCTCTGGGACGTGTCAGGACTCTCCTCTCTGGGACGTGTCAGGACTCTCCTTTCTTTTTGATACTCTCTGGCTGTATCCTCCCAGGGAAGAAGTTGGTTCATTCTGGAGTCACTTGTGCCATTCCTGTGCCCTCTTTGCACAAGGCTGTGTTGTAACTACTTCAACCTCCCCTTGTCTGCCAGTACAGATGTTGGTGACCAAGAAGACAGAGGATAAGGAGGCTTGCCATGGGACTTGCCTGGAGTCCTCCACCGTAAGTAGATGCCACAAGAGCTGGGTATGTGGTGCCAGCCGGCAGAAGCATCAAGGCCACCTCACTCCGGCCCCTGCCATTGGAGCAAGACTGGTGTAACTACTCTTGCATGTCAGCCTGGAAATTATAAGGAAGATGCCCCACCCTGTGCTCTTAAAAGCATGGAGGTTGAATGTTTCTAGGTCAGCAGCAAAAGACAACAGCCAGGTTAGGCCTGGTAAAGGAAGTATATCTGAGAGTTCAATAGGAAGAGACTAAGACACAATGGTGTTAAAGGTTAAATAGAAAGAGTTCCTGTGCACAGAATTGGATTTTCCTTCTAAACAGGGAGGGCTGTAGTTGAATCCCCTCTTGTCTGTCCTCTCCTCCTGTTCACCACCCCCTCTTTTCTGGTCTCCCCACTGAGGAGAGGAGAGATGGCTCTAGCTTCCAAGTAGCCTTGTAACGTAGGAGGACTGACTCTGCCTTGCCATTTTTTACATTTCCTATGTAAAATTTTAACAGAGCTTTTCTAAAGATCAAAGGCCACCCATTGAATGGGACTCTCATTTCAGAATGTAACTTTTTTTTCTGCGGCACCTCTCACTCCATCCCTATAACCTTAAGTAGACGAAATATTGGGCAAAAGGGCCAAATAATCTGTTGAGGAAGCAATCTCACCCTCTCATATCCAGCCAGGAACTTTTCCCTTCCTGGAACTTTCCAGTTCTAGTTTGGGGACTACAGCTGATAACTCTGACACCTGGTGGTTATTTCTAAAACTGCACTCTGGAAAAATTGTCCACTTTTATCATTTTTTTTCTTTTTAAATTAAATTAATTTTTTCTGGTAGATCTCCTCTATGGTCATACTTTTATGATTTTTAGTTGTTTTTTTTGAGATAGTGTTACTTTCTCACCCTCAGTAGAGTGCTATGGCATCATTGCTCACAGCAACCTCAAACCTTGGGCTCCAGTGATTCTCTTGCTTCAGCCTCCTGAGTAGCTGGGACTATAGGTGCCCACCACAATCCCTGGCTGATTTTATAGATGGGGGTTTCACTCTTGTTCAGGCTGGTCTTGAACTCTTGAGCTTAAATAATCCACCCAGCTGGGCCTCCCAGAATGCTAGGATTACAGATGTGAGCCACTGTGCCTGGCCTTATTTTTAGTTGTTTTGGTTCTCCACTTCCAACTTCAATGTAAATAAACATTTTATAAATTGGTATTATTAACTGAATTATTTGTAAGTAAAATTCTTGCAAATGCATTCAACAGAACACCCTTGGGTAGAAAAATTCTGAAAGATATACCAGAAACTATGTAAGGTGATTTCCTAGGGAGTGCAGCTAGGTATGTGGAGGGAGGGGATTTATTTTACTTTATATCCATTAGTTATCTCTGAAATCTACAGGGTGGCCATAAAGTTCATATGCAATTTAAAATAGTGTGCAATTTTATTTTATTTATTTATTATTATTATATTATTTTTGCAATGAGCGTCAAGCTATTGCTTTGGGTAGAGTGCTGTGGCATCACAGCTCACAGCAAACTCCAGCTCCTGGGCTTAACTGATTCTCTTGCCTCACCCTCCCAAGTAGCTGGGACCACAGGCACTCACCATAACGCCCAGCCATTCTTTGGTTGCAGTTGTCATTGTTGTTTGGCAGGCCTGGGCTGGATTCGAACCCACCAGCTCCAGTGTATGTGGCTGGTGCTTTGCCACTCCAGCTATAGGCACTGAGCCTAGTGTGCAATTTTAAATTGTACATGCACTTTATGGACATCTGTATTTTATTTTATTTTATTTTTATTATTATTATTTTTTTGAGACAGAGTTTCATTATGTTGCCCCTCCATAGAGTGCTGTGGCATCACAGCTCCCAGCAACCTCTAACTCCTGGGCTCAAGCAATTCTCTTGCCTCAGCCTCCCACATAGCTGGGATTATAGGCGCCCGCTACAACCCTTAGCTTTTTTTTTTTTTTAAATATAGGATGCTTCATGGATTTGCATGTCATCCTTGTGCACAGGCCATGCTAATATTCTCTGTATTGTTTCAATTTTAGTGTATGTGCTGCTGAAGGGAGCACTGCTCGCCTATTTTTTTGTTGCAGTTGTTTAGTTGGCCTGGGCCGGGTTCGAACCTGCCACCCTCGGTGTATGTGGCTGGCGCTGTAACTACTGTGCTATGGGTGCCCAGCTGACAACTGTATTTTAAACCAAAAGAAGATATTACTTTATATTTAAGTAGCACACTTGGGCAAGAGTCCTGGAAGGCCTGGATATTCCCTTCCAGGGCTCCTCCCCTCTCCTGTTCTATGTCCAGGGACCTCTGGTGCTTTTGGGTATTTCAAGGGAAACACAGCTGGATTCACTCTGTTCTCATGCACTGACGCTGTTGGAGGAGCCCAAAGCTGTAGAAACTGGTCCTGGGAAGTCTTGTGGCCAAAGTACTGAGGCTGAAAAGAGTTTCCTGCTCACTGTGTGGTGGTCATTAGTAAAGGCAGCAGTGCTCCAGTTGTTGTTGACTCTTCAGGGGTGGGCTGCCCACTTCCTGAGGTCATATCCCTCAAACCTCCCAGGTGTGAGGCTGCCAGGAGCTGATCTCACAAGACTTGACAAGGTAGAGGCTTCTTAGCTCCTAACATCAGAGAGTAGTGCTGGGTGCAGATGTGGCTGCAGTTGGTGGGCAAGAGACCCAAGTCTGATGAAAGCAACCACCCTTTGACTGCCTTCTCTATGCCTGCTATTGTCCAACTCCAATTCCCTTCCATTACTGAATAGACTTCCCACCACTTTCATACTGCTCTCCATTGATGGCATACCTTCCTCACTTTTATGAACTTGTAGAGATCTTTCCAGGTGTATGTTCAGGGACAGCAAACACTCTTCTTGTTGGGATCTGCCATTTGCCTGGCTTATCTCTGGTAGCCCTGAAACACTGGGCAGCCAAGTCTGCTCAGAGCACAACGCAAGGTTCTCAGGGTCTGAGCATCAGTGGGGTCTTCTAGTACCTGTTTGGTCCACAGTGGGGAGAGGGTCTGCCTGCAACTAGTAATGCAGTTCCTGAAGGGTGGGGCCAGAACTTAGGAGGGGAGCTCTTTTGCAGCAAATTTTCAGGGAAAGAGGAAAATCCTAGCACCATACTCAATTATGTGATCCTTATACCCAGAGGCCCTGTTTGAGTTCAAGCAGTCAACTCTTAGGCGCACCCTCCAGGGTACAAGGCAATCTGAGTACTATCCCATGATTGGGTTCCTTTGACTCCAAATAACCAAACACCTGACCTCCTGGTGGAGGGTGATCCACTTCCCCTTCTCTGGCAGCCTGGCTTTTATCTTCCAGAACAACCAGGGCACAACCAGGCACTTCCCCCCTTCCTGCCTCCTACTGCTGAGATCAAAGGCCTTCAGCAGACATCATGTGACCTTAAGGATGGATGTCACATGCTGGAGGAAACAGAAGAGGGCAGAGACTCTGATGACTTCACAGAGCTGCCAAAACAGTTCTGTTTACTCCTGGCCTTTAATAAAGTGAAGAGAACATGAAAACGACTGAGAGTTTCCTAGTCCCTGCAGCTGAATCTAATTATAACAGATAAAGTGACTCTTGTGATATCAAGTGTTTTCCTGTTCTCATCTATACTATGGCAAAGAGACAAATATTGCTTAATAAAGAACAGAGATAATACAACTGGAATGTCTGGTGGGGCATTTCTTCTGGTAGGTCTCTGTACACAGAATAAAATAGATTTTGTGCTCACTCTTGAATTTGACGTCTTTCTTGTGGGGGTGGGTGAAGCTAGAGTTCCATAAGTGTGTACTAGAGTCTTTTAGCTTCTATTTAAATATGGTGCATTTGAAAACTATTAAGAAATGAGTATAATTGTGATGGATGTATGACTTAGTTCAATGTAAGCATTTCACATTGTATATTGAAGCAATACCCTGAACCCCACAAATGCATCAATGTACAAAGTTATGATTTAATAAAAAACAATTTTAAAAAATGAAATAAATATGGTGGTAGGGGTGGGGAGGGATGATAAGGATCAGAGGAGAGCCACAGGCTGCTCTGATTGCCTTTGTGAAATACACATTTGCAGCTTGTGAAAAGCCTGCTCCTGAGCTCAGAAAAAGGGGCAGAGAAAAGGCCTTTGGTTCAGTTCTCTGGGACGGCAGTGGTGGTGGTGGTTTTGTTAAAGTCATGTGACCTGTGGCTTTCATGGAGTCATTTTATTAAAACAGCATTATCTTGGTGTAATTGACATATGATACATTTGTGCATATTTAAAGTGGATAAGTTGGCTCGGTGCCTGTGGCTCAAGCGGCTAAGGCGCCAGCCACATACACCTAAGGTGGCGGGTTCGAATCCCCAGCCTGGGCCCGCCAAACAACAATGATGGCTGCAACCAAAAAATGGCCAGGCGTTGTGGTGGGCGCCTGTAGTCCCAGCTACTTGGGAGGCTGAGGCAGGAGACTCGCTTGAGCCCAGGAGTTGGAGGTTGCTTTGAGCTGTGATGCCATGGTATTCTACCCAGGGGGATAGCTTGAGGCTCCGTCTAAAAAAAATAAAAAATAAAAAATAAAGTGGATAAGTTGGTAAGTTTTGCCACATGTTTACTTCTGAGAAACTAGACCACCGCAATCAATAGAGAAGTCATATCCATCCCCCTCAAAAGTTTACACTGGCCCCTTTTAGTCTGCCACCCTTCCCCTTGCAACCACCAAACTGCTTGCTATCACTATGTATTAGCTTGAATTAAATTTTCTTATGAGTACTCTCTTATTTATTTATTTTTTTTTGAGACAGAGTCTTACTCTGACACCCTTGGTAGAGTGCTATGGCATCATAGCTCACAGCAACCTCAAACTCTTGCACTCAAGTGATTCTTTTGCCTCAGCCTCTGGAGTAACTGGGACTATAGGCGCCTACCATAACACCTGGCTATTTTAGAGACGGGGTCTCGCTCTTGCTCAAGCTGGTCTTGAGCTCCAGCAATCCACCTGCCTCCGCCTCCTAGAGTGCTGGGATTACAGGTGTGAGCCACCATGTCCAGCCTATGTACTCTCTTTTTGTCTGTCTTCTTTCACTCAACATAATTTCTTTTTAAGATTCGTCTGTCTTGTTGCAGGTGTCAGTTCATTTCTTTTGAATGCTGACTAACATTGCATTGTGTGGTTACTACGGAGTGAAGTCTGTCCATTGACCTGTCCTTTCAGGTTTTGGCTATTAAATGCTCTAGCATTTTTCTTTGTGTTACTCTTGTGTATATATTTAGGAGTAGAATGGCTGGATAATATGGTAGCTATAAGGTAACTTTTCTACTCAGATTTTTTTACGCACTCTTGATGCATTGTATATTTATTTATTTGCTTATTTTGAGACAGGATCTTGTTCTGTTGTTTCAGCTAGAGCACAGTAGTGTCATCACAGCTCACAACAGCCTTAAATTCCTAGGCTGAAGCAATCTTCCTGCCTCACCCTCCCAAGTAGCTGGGACTATAGGCACTGTGCTTGGCTAATTTTTCTGTTTCTTTATTTTTTTTATTTTTATTTTTTGAGACAGAGCCTCAAGCTATCCCCTTGGGTAGAGTGCAGTGGCATCACAGCTCACAGTAACCTCCAACTCCTGGGCTCAAGAGAGTCTCTTGCCTCAGCCTCCCAAGTAGCTGGGACCACAGGC